GCTTATGGACCTATTTTGGCACAAACACTGTTCATTTGTTATGTTCATTTTTATTTCTGTTCACATCATTGTTGCCTGTTGTCTTAGTCTGTTTTATGCTGCTATAACAATACCATAGACTGGGTGATTTATAAAGAACAGAAATTTATTTCCTTACAGTTCTGCAGTTTGTGAAGTCCAAGATCAAGGTGCTAGCATCTGGTGCAGCAAAAGGGCTCTTGCTAGATGCTGGCAAAAGGGCAAAGAGAGGGAGAGGGAGAGAGAAAAAAGGGAGAGGGAGAGAGAGAGAGACCAACTCATCCTTTTATAAGGAACCCACTCCCAAGATAACAGCATTAATCCATTCATGAGGGCAGAGCATTCATGGCTAATCACCTCTCAAAGGTCTTACCTTTCAACATGGTCACCTTGGGGATCAAGCCTCCAACACATAAACTTTGGGGAACACATTCAAACCTTAGCACTTGCCTTACAGGCAAGAAGCTCTGATATCTCTGATGGGAGAGCAGTTTCTTTATCCCAATGTGGAGAAGTCTCAGGTCCAGGCAAAACATTCCTTCCCTTCAGCAGCTCCGGTCTGCAGCCCTCACCCCTCACATCAATCAATTCTGGATCTTCTCTTCCATAATGCAGGTCTCCCCACTTCTCCACTTTGACTTGACTACTGTGTTTACATCAGAGAAATGAACTCGCATAAATGGAGGCTGCCCAGCTCTCTCAATGTCCAGTCATTTTTTTTTTTCTTATTCAACCTTCAGTAATATCTCTCTGCTGCCCTTTTTCCCTCAGACCAGATCCTCAGGTGATGTTCCTCTGCTCAAGCCTGGTTTCTCTGCTTCCAATCCCCATATTCCAGGTGAGTTCAGCCCTCAGTCTTATGGTTCTCCTGCCTTCGTCCCTTTGACCCTACGTGTCTTTGTTTTTCTTCTTTGTCTGGAAATGTTCCTATTTAAAAACTTCCATTTGCCAGTTGCCTTCACCCAGTTGGCCTCCAGTCCCCAGCCTGGGGTCCCTGGACCCCTAGGAGGTCTTGGAGCACTTTTCAACATTTCAGTCCACCTGGGGAGAACCTACCTTTACCTGAAATCAGGTTGTTCAGGCCAAAGCAGGTCTCTGTGTTCTGGAATTAGATCAGCTCAGTGTGGTGACCAGGCTCATCCATGCTGATGAGAGAAAAGCAGGAAAGACCCAGGCTCCATGGAAAGAAGGCTATGAAGAGGGTCTCTGGTGGTGGGAAGTGGGGACACCAGGATTCTGCTTCCTA